ATATATTTTCAATACAGCATATCATCTATGACTACTACAGAACCCTCTATGCATGCAAATTAGAAAATATAAAGGAAATGTACAAATTTTTGGAAACCACAACCTCGCAAATTTGAATCAGAAAGAAATAGAAATCTCTAACAGACCAATAACAAGTAATAAGAATAAAGCCGTAGTGACAATTCTCCCAACAACAACAAAAACCCCCGGAATAGGTGGACTCCCAGCCAAATTCTAGCAGGCCTACAAAGAAAAACTGGCACTCATTCTACCGAAACTGTTCCATAACATTAAGCAGAGGAGAATCCTCCCCACTTCATTCTACAAAGTATCTACCCTGATACCAAAGTCAGGAAAGGACACAATAGCAAACTACACACCAATATCCTTTGTGAACATTGATTGAAAAAAAATCATCACCAAAATGCTAACGAACTAAATTCAACAGCATCATAAAAAATAATCCACCATAAACAAAACAAGTGGATTCATCCCAGGAATGAAAGTATGGTTCCATATATGCAAATCAATAATTGTTATTCACCACATAAAGCAAATTAAAAACAAAACCCATACGATAATCTCAATAGATGCAGAAAAGGCATTTGATAAAATCCAGAATCCCTTCTGATAAAAACCCTCAACAAACTAGGCACAGAAGGAACATACCTAAAAATAATAAAAGCTGTATATGACAAACCCATGACCAGCATCATACTGTATGGGAAAAGCTGAAAACATTCCTCCTAAGACTGAAACAAGAAAAGGCTGCCCACTCCACCAGTTTTATTCAACATAGTACTGGAAGTACTAGCCAGAGTAGTCAGGTAAGAAAACAAAACTGGAGGACATCCAAATCAGGAAAGAGGAGGTCAAACTATCCCTGTTTGCCAATGATATGATCTTATTCCTAGAAAACTCTAAAGATACCACAAAAAAACTCTTAGAACTGATAAATTTATTAAAATTTCAGGTTACAAACTGTGGTTATATACGACAGCATACTAATGATCCATAAAAAGCAATGAAATAATATATTTTGCAGCAACTTGAGTGGACCTGGAGACCCTTATCCTAAGTGAAATATTTATGGCATGGGAAAATAGATACCAAATATTCTCACTTATAAGTGGGAGCTAAAAGAAAGGTATGTATGGTCATTAAGAGTCATAATGGAGGCTCAGCACCCATAGCACAGTGGTTACGGCCCCAGCCACATACTCCAAGGGTGGCGGGTTCAAACCCAACTGGGGCCAGCTAAACAACTGCAACAAAAAAATAGCCAGGCATTGTGGTGGACGCCTATAGTCCCAGCTACTTGGGAGGCCAAGGCAAGAGAATCACTTAAGCCCAAAAGTTTGAGGTTGCTGTGAGCTATGACAGCACAGCACTTTAATGAGGGTAACATAGTGAAACTGTCTCACACACACACACACACACACAAAGTCATAATGGACGTCGGAAACTCAGAAATCAGAATGGTGGATTGGGAATGAGAGATAAAAATTCACCTATCAAGTACAATATACATTATTCTGGTGACAAGTACCTGGAAAGCCCTGACATCAGCATAATACAATCTATCCACATAATAAAAAGCACCTGTATTTCAAAAAAATATATTTTGGAATAAAAATTAAAAAATAATAAATGTATTTTTATTTTGTTATGAATTTAAATTTTGCATATTTTGCTATTTAACTGTAAATAGTAAATTACTATTTGAACTGGTTACTGTCTAGACAATATAAAATGCTATATATAAAGACTAAAATATTTTTCTTTTGAGACAGAGTCTCACTTTGTTGCCCTTGGTACAGTGCTGTGACATCATAGCTCACAGAAAGCTCAAATTCTGGGTTTAAGGTGATTCTCTTGTCTCAGCCTCCCAAGTAGCTGGGACTATAGGTGTCTACCACAGCACCTGACACAACACCCAGCTGTTTTTAGAGATGCGGTCTTGCTCTGGATCACGCTGATCTCGAACCTGTGAGCTCAGGCGATCCACCCACCTAGACCTCTCCAGTGCTGAGACTACAGGCATGAACCACCACACCCGGCCTAAAAGACTAAAATATTTTGCAGGCACAGTTAAGAAATTTTGCTAGAAAGTGAATTTTAGTTCAGTGAGTCTTCAAAAATCTGAAGAACCTAAGAACAAAAATTTGGTCTAACAATAAAATATATATAGCAAAGCTTTAATTTGGGAATAATTTGTATAATGTAATATTACAGGGACTATGTTCAAACTAATGCACAAAATAAAAATTAGAATAATAAAAATATAGTGTAATTCCTAGACCAGGCCATCTTCCATAATCTATAAGTGGCCATTATCTACATATCTATTATAAATTGCCAGCTATCTGGCTCATTTTGTATTAACCTCTGATCATGTTACTTCTAAATAGCCAACCGAGGAATAAACATTTTAGATTCATTATTTTCATTTGTACCGTGTAAATAGATGTCTGGTATTTTTCCAGGTATATTTGCCATGTAATTCCAGTCATCATTAGTCATTACTACAAAGGTGGAGAGCGAAAAGGAGAAAATTAAATAAAGCTAAAGTTTGGCTTTTCCATGCCTTGCTCAAAAATGGACATTTTCTCCACCTGATTTTTTATCACAAGACAATGATTAATGGATTGTTCTAGTAGTCACAATTCAGTCGTACCAGTCGTGCCTTTGATGTAAATTATTTTTTAACTAAAAAAGGTAGAATTGGTATTGGGGTTCTTACCATATGGACTGGTACTTTTGGAGCCCTAAAAAAGAATGCTGTAAAATATATGGTAGTAATAGTAATAATTGCAAGAAGTCATTTCTCTAGCTAGCAGGGACCAGATAGTTCCATTAGAGCTTTGATGGGCTACATGCTCTCTCTGAAAGTATATTTGTCACATAACCCACACATTTCTTAATTTTATAAATCTGTGAGCTAAAATGCCGTGATACAAGAAGGTAGGGGTCAACTGTTTATCAGTCCTTATAGTCTGATAGTTCATGGAAATCCATCATCTTAGAAATCTCCTTTATGTAGTTAATAATTATGTCAAAGTGTTTATACAGCCATTAAATTATTTGTTCCACATTTATCTGATGAGTGACTGCTATGTGCCACATGCTGTTATAAACATATCATGATCAATTCTCACCCTTGCCTTAAAGGACGTGTATGATTTTATAGGGTTTGACATGATACGTACTCGCATCTCTAATTTATAGTTGCTAAGTAGTTTGAGCCTGAGAGTTGGGGGAGGGGAGTAGTAATTTAAAGTTTATAACGTAAGCATCCTTGACTTTGCCTCCAATCATTTCACACTGACGTGGGGTTTATTACTAGGTTGTGTGGCATGAGTACATCTCAATTTGCTCTGACAGTTCTGGTTTTTGCCTGTCATCCTATCATAAGTTTTAATAGCCCCTTCGCTTTCTTGTGTATTCCACTTTAGAAGATAATATATATATTTAGTTATGAGAACAAACATCAGGCTGTTGGAGGCAGGCCTGGCTCAGTACTCAATAACCATTAATATAATTACTCCTAATGTTCTCTGTAGCAGCGTCACCATCCTTGTCATTGTCATCTACCCTCTTGACATTCTGAGAAGCTTGACCTGTCCAGAAAACTGATTGATGTTATTACCAAGTTAATCACTCTTTAATGACAATAAGTTTATTAGAATATAGTCTTTTTAACTTTCCAAACGACTGAAATGTTAGACAACGCTAAGAAATGGATCAGCTGTTTTGTAAACAATAAAATAGAAAATAGGAATGATAAGGGGGAAGTTTACTGGTGATTAATGATAAATTTTATGGATTATGGATTTGCCCGCAACCGGCTGTGTGCTCTTACACCTCCTCTGTCCCTACCTCAGTTGTAACATCCACAAAATTCAGATACTCATCGAATATAACTTCTCCAGATTGCGGTGAAAATTCAGTGATGTAGTGCATGGGAAATATCTAATGCAGTGTCTGGCATACTGTAAATACCCCAAAGTATTAGCTGCAAAACATTCAGGGTAAGATTAAAAATGCAAAGACTAAACACAAAATTCTTGCCGAAGCATCTTGATCAAATAGGTATAAGTGGGGCTTTGAGGGAGATATCTGAACTATGTGCCACTCTTACCAATGTAGTAGCTGAAAAAGAGGAGACCCCAAGATGGCCGTCAGGTCAGGCACAGAGGGTTTTCAGCCAGTGCTCTCCCATTCCTCTCATCTCACTATTTTCTTTTTTTGAGACAGAGCCTCAAGCTGTCCCCCTGGGTAGAGTGCCATGGCATCACAGCTCACAGCAACCTCCAACTCCTGGGCTCAAGCGAGTCTCCTG